ATGTCTATTAAAATCTATTAAAGCCAGTTTCTGCTGGGCATAGACTTCTATCTTTGAAATGACTATATGGAGCCATGTTTATTATTATACAAACAGTATGCCATCTGGTTTAGAGGTCCATACTGCAAACATGAATCAGAAACCCAAACCCTGGTAGTGTCAGCGCAATGCTCCAGTGGACTAAACACAACAGTGATGGACAGGGATGGTTAAAGTGAGGCAGGGAGAGACAGATGTATAGACGGATGGTTGGAGACAGAAATAGACGGACTCAGCGAGCCTGAAATCATATGAGTGTTTCCATTTTTGTCTTTCAGCTGTGTTTTAAACTGAAGTGGGCAATCACATTGAAATGTTCTCATTTGCATCCATCAAATGTGGCACCTTATAGTGTGAAACCATTAGGAATATGACACAGGAAGTGTTGTACACTGCACAAAGCACCTACCTCACATACACAAAACCAATATATTACCGTCTAAATAATGGGTGACACCTTGGTAATGATCTAGATATTCATTTCAATTCACAATTTAAAATTTATAATCACTCATTTACAATTCAGACAAATAGCAAATGATTACAATAACAAACAAAGTGAAAGTATTAGCATATAACTCAGGCGCTTTCTGAGCAACATTGATTATGAAACACAAAGTAAGAATAAATATTTCAGATTTATTTATTTTTTAAATCTCTTTCAACCATCTACACGTATTTGACTATTTTAAGTCATTATTATTGCATTATTGCAGATTCCCCAGTCATTTTTTTGCACATTTCTGTACAGCTCTTCACTCATTTATTTAAGGCCATATTGTACATATTCTCTCTCTCTCTCTCTTTATATTTGTATATATTGTCTCTATTTTTATCTTTATTGATATTTTTCTATGCCTAATTGTTATGCACCAAACTTATCAAGGCAATTGTTTAACTAACTGTATGCGGAAAAAAACCTATAAACCTGATTCTGATTAAAACTTTAATTCTCTTCATCAGTACACTTTCTATATATTGAAATGCCACAATTGAAAAGAATTATGACCCAACTCTGCAGTTCATTCAGCTTTACGAAGCGTTTTAGTAAGTAGAGAAAGGTGTGCTTGCAATCATTTTTTTAATGCCATTTTGTCAAGATCACAAGTTAATTTAACTTAATAAAACAAAGGGCGATTTCTTTAGAGAACGAGATCCTTTATTATGAGAAAATTACTTTTGTTTCTCGAGATTACAAGAAAATGAGCATATGGTATCATTTTATCACACCTGATTTGAGCCTTCAAGATGACTGATGGGGAGGATTCATAACTGAAGGAAAGAGCTGTTACTAGAAAGTCTATCTAAGAGTTAATTTGAGAAATTAATTTCAATATGATGCAGTACTGACAAAATATATCAGGAGAAGATTGAGTTATTAAATGAGCTCAAAGATCCCTGCAATGTCCAGATTCTTTTCATGCACTTTTCCTGTAGCTGCTGACTCATTTCGGTCAGTATGAAAATGAACAGTAACTATCAACTTCTGTTGAACCAATGCTACATGTCCGATACACCATTTATGCATGCTGACATGGCACTCCTGATCTCCGATACACATTATAAATAATAACAGGAAACAACCTTTAGTTTTCTTGTGATAACGGGTTCATTACCTCGTTGTCACAAGATAACAAAGCTTGTTTTCTCAAGATAACAAAATAATTAACTTGTGATCTTGAGATACTGGCATAAAAATAAGCTGCAAGCTCGGCAGTTCTCGACTTCCGTATTTTAGTGTCTTTCTGGTTGTTGTTGGGTTGTTTTTACAGCCTCACCTCGTTATCATTCGCAACATGTAGCTGTTTTCAGCAAAAAAGCTCAGATAAACCCACAGTACACACACATATACTGTACCTGCCTAACACTGGTTTCTTCATAATGCAGCTGTCCCGTTTCCTAGCGTCAACGCACATCAGCCTTTAGGAAAAGGAGATTTATCACATTTGCAATTGACACATCCTGGCTACTGTACCTTAACCGTGCTTTCTCTGTGCATTCGGTGTTGTGATACTCTTTAAATGACGCTCTGCTCCGCTGCGTGGCCCATATGTGCTGCACTATATATTATAAGTGTTATTTTAAACTAAACTAAACCTCATGTGTGGAGCCTGTAAATATATTGTTTCATTAACCAAACACCCATGTCTTGGTTTATTTTGTACACAGTATAAACATTGCACATCTGTTTTTGTTTGTCATACTGTGTAAGATAACTTTTTGTTGAAAGTAGCCTCAAATCTGACCGCTGGAAAGCACACATTTTTTCATCCTCCCACTATGGTTTCCTGTTGACTCACTGTCTAATTAATATAATGTTGATGTAGACTAATGAGCTCATGTGGAAGCACAGCTCATGTCTAGAAAACTTTCAGATAGATGTTTTGTTGTTGAGCTCAAGCAAATTTGACTCTCTACCACACACACACACACACACACACAGACACACAACCCAGCTAGAATCACTTTTATTGTTTTGTTGTTTTAACGGTCAGTGATTTAAGGCTAAAGATGATGTCACCCTCCTCATCATGGTTACTAAATTGTTCCTCTGTTCACGTCGGTGCTTTTAGTAATGGTGTGTGACAGGGGTTATGGTGCCGTAATATGTTAGACATGAGTTCTACAGTGAATTGCTCGCAGAATCTTTCAGACTTCCTCCAGCTGTTCCTCAGTCTCTTTCTTCTCCTTTAATGAGCCTGTTTGTTGGATTGATCTAAGCCAAGATCTGGCTTTTGTTTTAAATTACTTTTTGGAAGCGATAATTTGGCAACGGACATTTATTCATGTGTCTTGTAGGTTTAAGCTAACAAAATCATGTGTTTCCAGCAGCGACAATAACGGTTAGTTTTTGAATAAACAGCAGAACAACTCTGTAGTTTGCATTAGCAGCAAATATGCACTTTGGCTGAACTGACAAAGCAAAGAGCTCCAGCTACACAGACTTCATTTTTTGACTTGCCTTTGTTATTTTAAGGTTTGGTTTTCATTTTTTGTCCTTGATGTTTTATGTTGGTTTCACCTTTCATGACCTTTATACATTGTGCTGAGTTACACACCTGTCTGAATTGACAGTCCGTCTGGTGTAATGTCACTTCAGTCCAGATCACTCCTGTTCAATAGGACAGACTTTATTGACAAGGGCACATGTTAACACAGATTAGCAGTGTGCAGCCACTGAACTGGTAAATTCAATCCGAGTACTTGCATATGTTTAAGCTCAAACAGCCTGTTTCTTTCTCCATGAATAAGACTCCAGTGAGTCCCATGAATTGTGGAGCTGAAATGGCCCTGTGGTTAACAAGACACAGGCCAAACCACAGGCATTTTATGGCTTTTTTGAATTTTAAAACTGAAACATCTCAGCTTTCTAAATGTCCCTCCATTACTTTTCTCTGCCCACATGTACAAGCCAGTATGTCTTAATCACAACAAGATATAGTGAGGAGGGTAAATCTAATTCAAACTACGTTACTGCATTGTCGCAGACGAACAAAATGTCTACAACATAAGCAGTAATTAGACATTTTGAAACTGATGAATGTTTTTGAGCATAGCATAGCAACCGTAACTAGGCACCGCAGGTCTGTCAAGCTTTGTACACACTGCTGAAGTGGTGTGCATAAGGATGTAGTAAAAGTAATTCTTGGAATTTAAAGAGTTTGGACGGTGTTTCAAAACAAAAAAACACATAAAGCAGAACTGAACACAAGTGGCGTGTTGGTCTGCTCTAACGTAACACACAAGTTTATTCTAATGTTAGCGGCTATGTCCTGCAGCCTGTTGCACCAGCTTTGTGTAAGTTTAAGTTATTATCTGAGTTATAACATGAATTATTACTAAGTTGTGATTTATGCATTACTAAAATAAAAGTGGTTGCAGCATGGAGATAGTACAAACCAAATTAGTTACACATCCCCTAAGGTAGTATTACTCATAAAATGTCGCAGAATTAAACTCACTGATGGTAAAACTGCAGGTTTTTTGCAACAACATGATTTCTTCATTAATTGCTGCCATTTTGCAAGACCTAAAGTATTAACATGATATTACAATATTGAGTTAGTTTACAACAATATGCTACAGTGCCAAGTGGCTCATGCCAGCCAGAAAGCTATTGTGCACGTTAACTATAACGATGGGACTTGCCTTAGTTATGACTTTGCGTCCAAACTAGTTACGTTCAACCACTTTTAGTAGCTGATTTAGTTACAAACTAACTAGTAGTTACTGAGCCTCTAGTGTCGACTTTACACCCTAACTTACACACAGATGGTGCAGCACAGTGCTGCTCTTTAAGTTTACACTGCAGAAAAACCCAGCAACATTACCTGAGATCACATTTAACAGTCACATAGTCTACAGTGAAACAGTTTGATCTGCCATTTCTCCTTGTCATACTTACAATACTGTTGCTCTATACAATGTTTTTGGTTTTTTATGTCCTTTACATGTATCATCAACTGCGGATGCTGACTTCTTCCCTGTGACATGCAACGTTTTAGCCATCAGGTGCAGTTTTGAGATCTTTCGACGGGGTTCTAGTTTTAAAAAGAGTTAACTGGAAGCATTAAAAACTCAGCTGGAGACAGTGTCCAACTCAACCAGCTCATGGAGCGAATGTTAGCTCAATAAGCTAGCTACCTAATAAAATCTGTCGCAAAAATTAGAGATTGCCGACTAGAAATTAAATGTCTACTTTTGCCGACCTCCTTCTGAAATCACAGACTAAAATGATTAAGACATTATTAAGAATCTGCGCCGTAAACTGTATATGTGCTGTGCGAGAGACAGGCGGGGAGACGGGTGGGGAGCCGAGCGTAGCGAAGGGTCAGTTATGACTGGTGTGTTTGAATCTGCTTTACTTTTATAACTCTGTTTCTGCTGTTTCACTTGTAATGTAATGGTGCTATGAATAGTGTTGAAGTCAGTGTCTCTGTCTCTCTCTTTGTTTTCTCCAGGTCAGCCTACCAAATGACTCCAGCTGTGTTGAAGAGATTTTGCGGGTATGTTGCTTGGGTCACACACACACACACACACACACACACACACACACACACACACACACACACACACACACACATACACACACAGAGTAATTGCACTGATTATCAGCTGTTTTCTGTTTGCTCACAAAGACCTTCGTCTCTCTCCGGAGAGTCTGGTTCTAAGGAAGAAAGGACAGGAGGAGGAGGAGGAGGAGTGAAGGGCAGAGGGGGAGAAAAGAAGGAGATCTGTTGGCTCAGGTCAATGATTATACAAGTTTTTGTTTTTGTAGGGTGACTTCATGCAGAAATCTTTTCCACTTTTCTCCTCTCCTTTACCCTCCTTTTCATCTCTCTCTCTCGCTATCCTCCTCTCGTCCTATCTGCATGTCATCAAAATTACATCAAGCAACACATTTTTTCCACAATTTCCCCTCGTTTCTGTCCTGTCCTCTCTTGTCTTTTTGTATTGTTACCGTGTTTCTTCGGAGGGATGTCAAAACAGAAATGTTTTCCCACAAATCTTCTCGGCAGTCGGAGAATTTGCAGCTGCAAAGACAGGGACCTTCCCTGACTGATTTATGTCAAGTTATCTCTTTCTTTCCTCACTCTATATTTGTCTCTATCTCTTCTCTCTTGTTTGTCAAATCCCTCACTGTGCTAGCTCTCTCTTTCCCTCCCTGCCTGTCTTCCTCTCTTCATTCCTCTCTGCCCTCTGTCATTCACCTCTCTCTCCCTTTCACAAATCAATATGCTGGCCAACCGGCTGTGTGACAGATAGTGTGCTGTGAGCTGCATGAAAAGCCTTTGTCAATAATATCGGTGCACTATTGAATTCAGTCTGTGGTTTTTAGCCGTGTCAAGTGGAAAGATCGGGGAGTTCAGAATGTGAGGTGAGGTGAATTGGAGCGGTGGCCTGCGGTTCATTTTTCCCTTTCTGCGACGGCACAGCTACAAGCCGGTTGTCACAGAAACATTGTTGTTTTGGATGTTTTCACAATTCAAGGTAACAATGTGTATCAGAGATATTGTGTACAGAGGTAAAGCTGCATGAAACAGTTCACACCTTTAAAAGACCAGCTAGTGAGAAACCACCTTTGTCTCTTATAGATATCCATGCTAATACTTTAACATATGGCATGGCAACTAGACAAGTATCCAAAAAATAATCAATAATAATCAATCCCAAGATAGAATATGTCCTCTTCTTTGCCTCCATCGTGTCAGTTATTTTCTGTATTGGGACACCTCATACATGGCTTCTTACCAAAAGACAATGACTGTGTTTAAAGGGTCAGTTCAGCCATATTACATAATAATGTTGTTTACCTTTAGTAATATATATTTATACATATGTAAAATGCCCCTCAGAAGTTTAGATTCACCTGTTATATTGGTTATATCATATACATTTGGCCCCCAAAAGAAGAATAATGAAATGGTTTTAAACTTCTATGTAGTTGATGTCTCCGTGGTGGTATCATTCGCCACTGTAGTTATGTTGTATTTATAGTTACTGTTATGGTTATTGGTGTGGACAGTCCTTTATTATTTGGGCGGTAGTAGCTCAGTCTGTAGGAGACTTGGGAACCATTAAGGTGACACAGACCACGCTAAGACATGTGGCACCTTAACATCCCTCCCAGTAACTGCATGCCTGTGAGTCCTGTGTGTGTTTAGGGTGTGTGTATAACAATAACAATGGAGTGAAAAAAAAATTCAATTTTAATAAATCAAGTCTTTGTCTTCCTCGTAGGTGTTCGGTGTAATTGTGTATAATATGAGTAGTAGATAATAAGTGGAAAATCACAGTGACATGTGGGTCTGTGTTAATGTCTGTGTGTGTGAGAGGGTGACAGACTGAGTTAATCGCATAATGGCAAGTAGCAACACATTTATAGACACACACACACACACACACACACACATATTCAAATACATGCACACACACACACACACACACACACACACCATCAGGGGTGCCGTCTGTCAAAACACAGGAACTCTTCTAGGGAGGGACATGATGATGTCAGAGAAGAGTTGCCTAGCAACGCACCGTATGTTGTCAGGCCAAGTGTGTGACGAGTGTGTGTGTGTGTGGGGGGGGGGATACACTCACAGTCAGAAGTCTTCAGTAATGTTCCGCGGCTCACTTATACACACACCCTTACCCACGCACGCACGAAAACATGAGTCATCTGATGAATGTGAGTCATCCACTCCAGAGGGGGTGAAGAGACGCATGATGGGAAATTGTGATGTCAGTGACCTTTTCAAGCTCTCTGACCTAGTGACCTGCTGCTGTATGGCAGTAGTGTGGAGTGTGGATGTATGTGTGTGTGTGTGTGTGTGTGTCTGAAGCAATGAAAAATGCAACAAGACTGTAAAGACTAATACAGTAAGATGTGTGTTGTAGACTTATAAAACTATACCCTACAACATACGTGTGTGTGTGTGTGTGTGTGTGTGTGTGTGTGTGTGTGTGTGTGTGTGTGTGTGTGTAAGGGGTGTTAAAGAGAGAACCTGCGTGTGTGTTTATATGAAAAATTAGCTGCTGGCTTCACTTTGCTTCGTGAGCAGATTTTCCAATATATGCAGTACATTTCCACAGTTGTTGAGAGAGAGAAACAGCCAATACCTAACAGATTATAGCTGCTGCGCACACACACACACACACACACACACACACACACACACACACACACACACACGTATGTTTATCTTGTTAACTAATTTAAGCTTCTACATATTGAGACTGGAATTCAACTGAGAAGACTGTGTGATTAGAATAATTGAAAGGGGATGCTGCTGCTGCTGTGCTGCTCAGCTGCAATGCAACCGACTGGAGTCAGCTTTTATTTTGGTAATTCAACAACTCTGCACTTAGTTCACTCTCAGTACACTGATCCCTGGTGTGCCACCAACTCCCCATGCTCCTCTCAGTTTATACTTTAAGTTATATTAAAGTCCTCTCTGATGGGGGACTCTTCAGCATAACCTTGATTGAATGCTGAGTCCACTCCTCTGCATCAAAGATGTAGCGTAAGCAGTCCCTTTGCTCACATTTTAGTCATCATTGTTATTCAGAAGGTACTTTCCACATGAGGGGAAAACTTACATTTACCGTGAGTTGTATGCTTCATTTAGACTTTTTCCAGTCAGAAAGGCTAAAATGTCCAATTATTTGTATCAATGTTATACAAATGTGTGTGTTTTCAGGAGATGACCCATTCCTGGCCTCCTCCTCTCACAGCCATACACACTCCTGGGAAAGCTGATCAGACCAAGTTCCCTATCCCCAACAAGGTTAGTATGAGTCTTTGTCCCACTGCAGTTCCAGGTCCAGTGTGTAACATTTAGGAGGATCTATTGGCAGAAATGGAATATAATATTCTTAGGTATGTTTTCTTGAGTATATAATCACCCAAACAGAGAAATGATTGTGCTAGTACGCACTTTGGAGCCTGTTCTCATTCCCAGGTCATCTACAGACACTAGCAGTGTTCAGGTAGTTGCAAACTCCGCAAGGCAAAATATCACTTAATCCTACATACTGGTCATTTAATAGTGCAAATTCATTTTGGATGCAAACCAAAAAGCGAACATCCCAACTAGAGCCAGTGTTTGGTTTGTCCTTCTTGGCTAGTGGAAATATAATATTTAATATATAATATTTCTGACAACTTTTTACTTTTACCCCCTACATTTTTGCACAAATATCTGTACTTTCTACTCCTTACACTCCATACATAACAGAAAAACAAGCTCGTTACTTTTAGTTTTAATGCATTTTAGGGGAATTATCAGTCATTAAGACTGATGCATATCACGCGATACAGACTTAACATGACGAAAGCGACATAAAATATGTAACAACAAAACAGACAAGAGAAGTTTCAGTTAACTTTGCAGAGAAGCAGCCGGTAGAAATGTCCTTTAGAGAAGTACTTTTTACTTTCATAGTTTCAGAGCCTGTACTTCTTCACTGTTACTTGAGTAAAATAAGTTGAATCAGTATTTCTACTTGAGTAAGGAATGTGTGTGTTTTTACCGCCTCTGCTCGTTCTAAGGTAATGAAAACACAACAGTTACTTTATTTAGGTGATTATACACTAATGAAAACATAGTTATGCACATTATGTTCAATTTCTGTCATTAAATATTACATATTGGACCTTTAAAAGTTGTTTGTTGGACTAAATCGTGTTCTCTACTTCTGCTCTGACTACATTTCTTCCCTTTATTTGTGCATGACTCTGGTGGAAAAAGATGTGACACAGTTGAAAAAGCTTCACTTAAACTCCACACTTATTGGTAGCTCATCATAAAACTAACTGCAGTCTGTCACTGAGAATCTTCAGCCTGCTAATTAGATCTGATTCATAAATTCACTGCGGCAGTGATTGCTATGATTGAATCAGATTACTGTTGCCTCATCCTGCGCAGTGGCACAAGTGACAGCCAATGAAATTAAAATGTTAATTAAGTATTGCATGTTTAATTTACTTCCTGTGAGGAAGTGGTCATGAATAGAGCCACTTCGTCTCTGCAGAAGTCTGTATTTTTTACATTAAATGTTTGGGTACCGACAGAATCAGTAGGAGGAAGAATTGGGGACACTGTCTGTCTGTCTAGCTATCTTGCTATCTGGTCGCGGTGCTCTTGTTTCCTGAGCAACAGGCTGTGGCGTTCAACTAAATATTTCCTGTTCGTAAGAAAGAGGAAAATAAGTGGGTTTTTAACATGAACAGTGATAGGAACCATGGCGCTCAACACTCAAAGAAAAGAACGTCACTTACAGAAAGCCGAACTTCACGAGACATTTTCGAGGAAATGACATTGCAGCACCACCCACACTGTTTGTCTGACAGGTGGTGTTTGACAAGTGAAGTGCAGAAACATGACAACAGTAATCAACAAAGACTGAGCCACAATAAAAGCAGGGACTAAAAAATTGCCACTTCAGAAGATAGATATGGTAAAACTTTCTCCTGCTCCTACAAACAACCCTTTTTGCCACCTTGTGATGTAAACAGTAGGGATATTTGTCACATTAAATGTTATATTCAGCATTTATCTCCGAAATGGCAGTAATATTCTGACTGAAACAGCAGGTGTATTTTTTTCGACTGCAGAGTGCTTTTATGAATCACTTTTAATATGCAAAACATCACATTGATGGTGATGTCAAAAGAAATAGCAATGTAAACACAGAGGCAGTAAATCTGACCCGGTAGTTAATGAATTAGGAAAGACTGTTGAGGCGCTTTCAGCCCCCAGCGTCGCACTAATCCTGCCAGAGATTTTTAAGAATGAGGTGGAGCGTCGACGCGGGGAGATGAGAGGATCTGAATTTTGTGTAATGGCATCGTTGTGCTGCTGTGAAATCAATAATGACATCTGTTGGTTTATTCATTCAACTCATCGCCCTCTGGCTTTCTCTCCACCTCTCTCCCTCTCTCTAGGAGTCACAGCATGTGACCTCAGGCTACAACACCCAGAGTAAGTTTCCCAGCATCAACACTCACCTACTAGCTCTGTGATAATTAACACTGGTGAGGCCATAAAGGCAATACCACCCTGAAGAAATGTGAGAAAAGCAGCCGATGTTCGAATGAATGCATAGCCACAGGAGCACAACAGTCTGAAAACGTCGGATTTGATCTTTCTGTGTTCATCTAAACAAATAATCAGGCAAACGTGATTGTACACACGCAGCTCAATTGGTTTGATTGATTGTGGAGTCCATGCTTTTCATTATCAACAGCAGCAAGCATGCTCACACACGGGACACAGACTTTGTCGCTCAGCATTTAGATGTGGGTTCTGCAATATACCAAACTGTGATTTGCTGCAATTCATGTATAATTACACATCTGAATCATTTATTACTGAGTTCACACTCAAGTGGTGAGTGGAGTACAGACTGTTTATCAGATGCTTGTGTTTGTTCTCTCACAGTTTATGTAATTTATTGATATATAAATACCAAAAGATTTTTGCGTACTTGCCAATACCAAGTTCCGATATGAGTACCTAATAATACCATCACAGTTCTAACAATGACTTTGATGTTTTATTTTTATCAGATGTTGCTCAATTTCTGACTGCAACAAAATAGATGACCCTAATTTTAAATAGTAGATTTATTAGTAGATTTGTATTATAGACTCAAAGACTCAAAAGAAATCTGATCTATATCTGAATATCCTATCTAGACAACCACAGTGATTGAAGAATGAATGAGCCTGTTCATGGCCGAGTCCGCCAACCAGATCCATTGGGACCGAACTGAGGTCATAAAAATGCTTATTATTATCAGGTCTAAATGCAAAGGCCTGTATATCTGATTATCCAGATAATGTTAATACCAGGTGTAAGGAGGTTATTAGTCCTTAGACCTGCGCAAGCTCAAGATATACTGGATCCTATACTTTCCATAATGCAGCTCATTAGCATATTTTCATTAGTCCCTTCCCTGGCTGACAACTTTCAAATTTCAAATTTGGGGATCTTTTTTCACAGGTTTGGCCTTAAAACTTAAGATAATTCGTCATATTCCTGCAAATATCCAATATTGCCATAAACCTGCTCATTGATTTGCAACATTGCCCACAACTGTCCAATACAACAGCATATATTGAAGGGACTGCTACCTAAACACACATATACATAAATATGTGGAACATAATATAAGTAGAAAAATCCATGCACAGCAGGGCTTCTCTTCTGAGTGCCAGCTGGTGCAGAGCAAACCAAAATAAACCAGACAACAAAGCAGACCAGACAGCAAGGAGTGAATTACACGTTGTTTCACTGCTGTTTCAATCCTGGTATCCTGGTGTGCGCTGGAATATATTTTTGTTGTCTGGTTTCCACATATACATGAATAAATGTGCAGAAAAATCCAAGCCAAGTCGATAGAAGCTTGTTTGTCTCGTGATATACAATATATCATTGCCCAATGCTGGATTTAATACGTCACAGTAGTTCTGGCTCACATCAGATCATCAAAAGCTCCTCTGAACTGGTGCTCCTCTGTTAACCCCCATCTTGTAGTGTTTTTGAGATGTTTGTGATGTATATAAAGCTGGAATGTTTTCCAACTGGCAGGCTTTCCTCTCTGATATGAAAAGAAGAAACACAGCTGACTAGAATATAAAATAAAATGAAAGGGTTGTGTTATAAAAGTCTGTGTATCCGTATTGGAAAATAAATCATCACCCCCAGTGGCTGTCAGGCAGTTTGACTTTTATTGTAAAGGGACATTTGCTTTGTGTTTTTACCCAAACTCCTGTTACCAAAGCAAAGCAAAAGCACATTCATTAAATAACACTCGTGCAGTGTCATGTTTTCCGGTGCGACAATACTAATAGCCATCTACAGTGATTTGAGTCTGGCTCCTTGTCAAACAGTAATCACTATCAACCCAAGACACATGCTAAACAGTGATACTTGAATGTCCTCTGTTGTGTTTCAGAGCGATGTACTGTATCAGCTAACAAGCCTGCTGCTAAACCACCAACTGCACCACAGAAGTCGTGAGTATCTCTCTCTCTCTCTCTCTCTCTCTCTCTCTGACACACACACACACACACATAAACAGAGAATTTCTGACCCGCTGTTGCTGCGTTTGCCTCAAGGTAAAATTAAGCTTGACTCTTGGATGAAATTCACTGCTGGTAGGAGGAAAAAAAGATTGTGTGGATCAGAGCGGGAAAGTGCAGCTACATTAATTTAACGTGAGCCAGGAGCATATTGCAACATCTCTGGCTGCAGCCCACTCCACTTCACTCACAGCGCTGTACAGCAGGATTCATGGCAGGGGGAGATTGGAAAGGCAGAAATCTTGGCTTGTAAATCAGCTTCACGACCCCTGATTCATCCTGTGCTTGACCACAACAAGCGGAATGATTTTGTTTTAGAAATTGACAGTTTTGCTTAATGCCTCCCTCAAACAGGTCTGCAGCCTTCCCAAAATCCCAAAACACAGTAGGAAAAGTGTCAGAAATAGATTAAACTGTGTGTTTATCTGCTCAAACATAATCTGTGTAAATGTTAGCATGTCCAGCTAACCTGCTTACCGTTTACAGAAACTGACCTAGCATTACTTCCAAGACCATGGAGCATTTTTTGTGGGGTTATTAGGCAAAAGAAATTCACTGTTAGTTTTACGCTGTTTGGAATCTGGTCCCAGATGCTGCTATATCAGAGTGTAATGTTAGCAGCTTTGTCCTGACATATTTTTGTTGGATTTTGAGAAGTTTGCACTCCAGCAACCCCATCCAAACTTGTAATCCAAGATAACATAAGGTTGGCCAAACACTGGTTAGTCCTCATACTAAGAGCATTTTGTCTTGCAACATTAAAAGTGAAACATACTGTTTAATGTTCCAGTGTGTAGGATTTAGTGGCACTCTATTGGTGTAGTTGTAGGTCGCAATTCACTCACTTCACCCTTTTCTTTCAAGCACATGGCCTACCATGCAAGAATGGAAAGCTTACCAGTAGCTAAGTTTGGTGGGGCTTAGTGAACAGTCAGTTATCCATGTTGAATACCAGCATTTAGAACAGATGACGCAGGTGCTTACCAAACAGGACTAAATTGATCTATTTGTAGTATCAGAATATTATTTAAATCCACTTCCAGACCCAAGTGTGACCCAAAACAAAAACCTATTTGTGTTTGTGTTCATCATAATGTTTTGCGACGTCTTGTTTAATTTCTTACTTCACGTGAGGAAAATGATTTTTGTCCTATCCACTGTCTGTATTATCACTTAAACATTAGTTCAATATGACAACTCCGGTGTTACTACCTCTAATGAGAGTTTTCGGGCGCTAAGTGCCATGAATTATTTATTCATTTGATGAAAGCTTATTTAAAAAAGGAGATAAAACGTGGCAAGCATGGTGTCAAAAGGGAGCTTCTGAAAATGAAAAAGACTTGATGGCCCAAAGATGATGCAAAAATAGTGCAAGTTAAGAATACATCAAGGCAGTTTATAGCTGGTAGTAATTCAGCTGGTTTGATTAAAGTTCCAAGTCTGCATGTAAACTCTCATTTCCTCCTCTTTGGATATGTTGTTAAATAGTTAATTATATCTCCATTAGGATGATGTCTACTGGAGCTGTAGTGCTTCTTGTGGCTTAATACACTATTTTGCTTCCAAAGCCGATAAGCCTATTTTGTTTGATTACTATTGTTTGCCCTGAGGTGTAATTTTTTCCCATCTTGTATTCAAGCATAAATGCTGCTTTGTTTATTAGGGTGAAATAATTGTTATTGGTTAAAAACAATGCCTCGTTTACTGCAGCCATTAGGCTATTGTCTGTTTTTACTGTGATGCTCAACAGCGTAAAATGTTAGGGATAATGAATAGGCCTACCTCGTCTTATTCAAGAGTAATTGTGCTGTTGAGGCTAATTGCTATATTCTTTGCTGAATGTTTACTATGTCCGACCATTACAGAAAACTCATCCAACAGTAATCCCTCTCAAATAGGCTCTGCATCTTAATGGTATATTAGGAACAAAAGCAAGAGAATTTGTGGTGGTTAATTTGTTTCTCTCATTAGAGCAGAGAGCATATTGTACCCTCCTCCTGCAGGAGATTCATTACGCTCTGATCCAATCTCATGATGTTGAGACAACTGCATTTATGTAACAGAGCGGAAGAAGCGAAGAAGACTTCTGTCTAGTCGAACTGGCTTTTGTGTTTGCTTAGTGAGCAGTGTCTCACCTGCCGGCGGCAACGGAAACCCAGATAACGCCAGAGTTCTTGCTTTTATTATCACTGAGCTCTCTAACAGTAGTGCTGGACTTTACAGTGTAGCATCCTAGATAGAGCAAGACACTAACACTGCCTGGGGTTATGAGCTCTGTCCTCTGTTTGGCTCAGGGTGTAAAGAATACTGTCAAAATATGATTTACCTGCGCGGTCAAAGAAGATCAATAAGCAGCCAAGTGTTGTTGTGATGGTGTTATATTTTAATAGTATAATACAAGTTAGCGTTTGAATGCACAAGTTGCTTTGGAAAAAAGGAATTAGAGGAATCAACTTCTCTTTTCTTATTAACTTAATGTAAATATACAAGTTTTATTCATTTAAATTTAAGTTAATTAAACTTAACATTTATAGTTTTTATTTTAAGACCACTTCAGAACGCATAAACATGTTTTCTTCTAACTTGAAGTCTTTTGACTTGAAATGATGAGTTAAATGAACATACTAAAGAACATATAACTTATTAAATTAAGTATCTAAAGAAACATTGAGTAGCATACTAGCAGATTTTCTATATATAGGTATTGTTTGAGAGTTTAAATTCTCCTGAGACCATTATTTTTTTACAGTTTGAAGATAATGTATATGCTAGAAACTTGCTGTGTGTATATACTGTACATACATTTTAAGATAAGTCATGGTTGTTTGTTTTTAGTGAAAGCATTGAAAACCATAATGTAGGTTACTGTTTACTGTAATGTAGTACGTTATTTTAACTCAAAAGAATTGTTGAAACCGATCACACATCAAAAATTTTAGGTAACACAAACTTTGTACAAATATTAAAATTACAAAATTAAACAACATTCTTGATTAAGTACTATTTACTAGGTATTTTGTTTTCCCAGTGTCAGTGTCACTTAAAATTATTAACTTTAGATGCTGTAAAGTTTCAACAATTTTTGTTTACGCTTACTGAACATTCAATTGGTTTTACAACTTAAATAAGACTTTAAAGTCAAATTTTGTTGTTAAACCAGCTCATAATTATTTCCAGTGTATTCGTGTTAACACATAGATCTTTTTACAGTACAAATATTTATCTTCCTTCAAAAATAAGGCACAATAGGAATGAGCAGCCAGCAAGGCCTCGGCTCAAAAAATCAAACTGAAAGCAAAAATGTGATCTGACCACATAGCATCAAACATACCAATCCCATGTTTTGTGTGTTTGGCAATATAAAAAGTATTACAGTGTGTCTCTTAACTCATACGATCAATTTCTGAAACAAACATCTGACACAGCAACTATACACACACATGTGTTTGTGTATATTAGTGCTTCACAAAAACAGTCTGCGGGAGTAAACAGAAATTGACAGACTTTCAAGAAGACTTCAAAAGCTTGTTGAACTTCAGTCTCTGTTCAGATGTCTACTGCAGAATAATGAACCACAGTAGTTATATTCAACCTCTATTCAGACCAGTTGCTCCTAACCTTTTTGGCTTGTGACACTGTCTACTCTAGACCCATCGTTACTCATTCGTTACTCATTGCGTATGTTTTTCACCCTTTAAATGGAGTAAAATTATCTAGTTATTCACAAGGAAAAGGGCAAAGATTAGAAAAAATTCAAATAGTTCAAACCTAATTTGATGCAGCGGTCTTTTTCTGTTTTACTCATGACCCCCAGGTTGGGAAAGCACAGCCTTAAACAAACCTACTGACACAAAGCAAGTTACAGTACGTAATCACATAATCAATCATTTTTTGCACAGCTTTTAAAGGTCCAGTGTATTGGAATTAGTGGCATCTAGTGGTGTAGTTGCAGATTGCAACTCCCTCACTTCATCCTCCCCTTCTGGACTACTGTAGAAACATGGAGGCCAACCGTTATTTTAAGGAAACGACAACGCAGCGATTCTTATTTTCAGGTGATTAAACGCTAATGAAAACATACCTACCCTTTGCTTGCTCTCCATAATAAAAATCGATGGAAAGAGCAACAGCATATAGAACCTTCATTAAAAGAAGATCCAAGGTGATCTTGTGCAGCAGTGATCACTTAATGCAAACTGGAGTCAGTAAATGATAAATGAGAGAATAACAGATTTTCCTGTCGAAAAAAAAGCAGAGAGGGACAGAATTAAGACTGAGAGCTGGCCTGAATAAGTTAATCTTGATTGTGGACGATAATACAGACACTCTGGCAGGGAACTTGTTCAGCTTGAGAGTTTTCCCCATAAGGCAGTCAACTGAGAGAAAGATTTATGTGTGCGTTTTGTTTTGCAGTCTGAGTACACGTGCATCTGAAATTCTGTGTTGAGCAATTAGTCATTAGCCGAGCGTGGCTTTGATTTAGCTTTGGAAAATATTAACATCCTCTCAGTCAAACTTCCGCAAGTAATGGAGCTCTACCAGCGCTTTACTTAAATAAAAAGACTCCATTTTATGCAGGCAATTAAGAGCCTTGTAGAAATTTGATGTCGTGCTTTCTAAGCTATGCAAGTCATGGATGCTTTAGTCCATAACTCATTTATATCTGACTGCGTCTGTCCTCGTAGATGCTTCCACTCTCTCTTGCATTTTATTCCTTTTCCCTCCATGCTTCCTTTCTCTCTATTCAGTCTCCCTCTCTCTATCCTCCTCTGTCACTCGCTCCCCCTTCTCTTCTCCATCATTATCATCTCCATCTCACTCACTATCTCCCTCTCTCCATCTGTCCCTTCTTATGAAATAAAACATGAATCCATTATTCATTCATTCAAACATATCTATCATCGCCGTGTGCTGCACTGTGCCCCTTATCTGCAAAGCTTTTTTTTTTCTTCCTTATTGTGCTTCATTTATTCACCACTCGTACGGCCCCATCTGAAAACACACCACAACACTGGGGAGTGTTTTTTAGCGGTGCAAGCACTGACAAGAGTGGTTCGTGAGGCAGTAAAAATCCCTTTAGGGGATTCTCCTGTCATAACAATAGCAGTGGCAGCTTAAAATAACAGTAGTTTGTGTGGAGGGTTTATATAAAGCAATAAAACACAGGAACTTGCCAATGCACACCACATAAATACTGAATAATTTGTGTGGTAAGGAGCAGGTGATGCTCTGAGGTAGGTCATGTTATCGACTGTGTCTTGTATATCTTTTTCATAGCCTCCATACATCTATATTGTTAGAATTTCATTTCTAGCGAGAGGAGAATAAAACAAACACGCCTAATAAAGGAAACAGGGCTAACTTGAAGCTCCCCCTAAAATATCCGTGTACAATCCTGACTGAGGGACTAATCTCAGCCGAGTACGTCCTTTTTGTTTCCAAGGAATTCTTGGCTGTTGGTCAGCGGTTGTCAGACAGAAAGTTTCCAGGTGAAAAAACAATCTGGCTTTCCTCTCCAAGCTCTAAAAGCCGAACATCTGGTAGGTTTTTAGCAGCGAAGTGCTCCATCCACTGTCCACTTCCTCATTCCCCAACATGAATCAGTGCTGCTTTTGCTGTGTAATTAATCCGTTTGCCAGGACAGTTCATCAAAGGGAATTGCAGATCACGACTTGCCATATCCGACCTAATACGAGCAGACAGGAGGTCACGGCTGCAATAACACGTGTCCCTTTGTCTCTGCGCAGAATGTTGGAGGATGACCTGAAGATCAGCAGCGATGAGGAAGAGGCCGAACAAAAGGTGAGCTCCCTCTGCAGTCCGTCCATTCATTCATCTATGCAAATCATCCCTCGCTCCAGCTTTGCCTCCGTCTGTCCTCTGGTCATTCATGCACATTCACATACGTTACATTAAACTCCTCTTTTTATATGTCACATATTCTGATTGACTTCATCTGTCCAGGAATCACTTCTGCCCATGTTTTCTAAAAGCATCTATTCACAATTCATCCATCATCTCTTTCAGTTGCAGACAACCAACCATCTTTAATCAGTGTTTATTTACATACCACCTCTAACAGGTATTTCAACCCTTTCAGTCACAGGTCACAAAAACAGTTTTTCCCTACTGCCATTTATCAGATCGAGACTAATTAATTGCTTATATTTATTAGATTTCTTAATATGTCACAAAGAGTGAAATAAGTTCAGGTTTTTGGTAAAACTGCTGAAACAATTGTGGGCTTACAACATCATCATAACCAATAAATATCAGGACTTACTCAGCTCAAATACGTAACTAACCTTTGTGACTTTGTCAACAACACCTAGACTGGGAATAGTCTACAAAGGGGCCATAACCAAGGAGGAAGCTGCAAGTGAGACGCATTGCTCGCTCTTAAATAAATCACAGTAAAGTCATTCCAGTGTGCGGTTAATTCAGATTTATATATATATAGAGAGAGAGAGAGACAGAGAGAGAGCAAGAGAGAGCGAGAGAGAGATACACATATATGTGTATTTATATATATATATGTATATATAAACTCCACACCGGTCGAAGAAGATTGCCGCCCACGAGAGCCGGGGTCTGCTTGAGGTTTCTGCCTCTTAAAAGTTTTTCCTTGCCGCTGTCGCCAAGTTCTCGCTCATAGTGGGAATGGTTGGGTTGAGTACGGTTTAGAAAGAGTCCTGAGATAACTTTTGCTATGAATTGGTGCACAATTGAAAAAAATTAACATTTTGAAATTATCAAAAGTATACAAGATGTTAAAATAATTTAATTATTTTTTTAAATTAAAATTTAAGAAAATAAATTAATCAAAACACTTATAAAAGATAAAAGATGAAAGAAAACAAGTAAATGACACAACTATACAATTGCAGATCATACATGAAATAAAACAATTCAAGTGGAAACAGATGTTGGAAAACTTTTGATCATGGATTTAAATTTAAATGGGTACAAGACTATTGTACTTTGTTAAGAATTCCAGAGTACTAGGAGCATAAATAAAAAAAGGGTGATTCTGAATAAAAACTTTCTAACAAAATTAAAAGCAGATCTTCCGATGAACTGGAGGAACTTGTAGTGAAAGCCAGTCATTAGACCATGTTTGGTAAGGTCCAGAGGATGGAAGAGATGTATGTTGGCAACTTTCCAATAACAGCCTATATAATTCCCCCATTAAGGAGAATGGGACAGAAACAATCTCTGATGTGTGTATGTTGTAAGCCTTTATTAGATACAGATTTACAGAGAAAATGTGAGAAAGAGAGAGAGAGAGAGAGAGAGAGAGAGAGAGAGAGAGAGAGAGAGAGAGAGAGAGAGAGAGAGAGAGAGATGAAGACATGTAACAAGTTGATGGTCAACGCCTCAGACCAACAGGGCACCTCAAGCTATTGATATGTTGACTGATAGTGAGATACACTAGTCACTCTGCTGCAACTGAACGAGTCAACAGGTAAATATGTGGAAAGAATAGTAATCACAATAATGAGGCATATTCAAATATAAATTCTTTATTTTGCTATCTTGTTCCAAACTCTTCTTTTCTTCTATATGGACGACACAATGTTTCAAACACAAGTGGTCAGACACCTGAGAAAGTTACCAAATTATTAAAATAACTAACTAGGTATGTCAATAACAACTAAGAAGCACTTTTAAACAAGAAATTCCAGCTAGAGATTCCAGTTGAATTATTCCACTGAAGTCGTAAAAGGTTTAAGCTGTAACAGCTTGAGTTTCACTGTGTAAATACTTTGGAAAATGGCTCTTCTTTTCTCACAAGTCCCTTTCAAATACCCAGGAACTTTGTTGTAGGCCTGTGAGTTTACACTAGCAGGTCAAAGTGTATACTGTGTAGCAATCAAAGCAATACTTTCCTGTAAATGAGCTTTCCTTGAAGTAATTGTAGAGTCTACCCACTTGGAGAGGCTTTTTAAACCTTATAAACGTAGCACAAGTCTTTTTGTTCCATTTGAATACAGCCACTAAATGTTGACTAGTGAAATCACAGCCACTAAACAGGTCCAGTGGTGACTTTTAGAATAATTGCTTTGTTGATGTTGCAGGGAAAATACTTATTATTCTTAGACAATAATTTAACCATGAAAGGACCACAGAGCAAACAGTTCCCATTCATTTGTCAAACATGATACTTCACTAATATGCACTACTACCAGAATAACTATAAACTTACTGTGATTAGCTATCAAAAAAGTATTAATTCAACTGCAGCTTAAATACAGCTACTGGTGAATTCCATGTGATTTGGTTGAAAGCTCCAGAACAGCTACAAAATGAACCTTGTGGTGACTTTGTTTTCCCAAATAAAAATAGAATGAATTATTATTCTGTATTTAAATGATGAAATGATGATTAGATTTTAAAATGGAATCACAAAAATTCATTTTAAAAAGCTTTCAAATTCTCCTTTACTAGCCTGGTGTGGCTGTGTGTTTTTGTGTCAATTAGAGGCCTGGTCTAAATGTCCATATAGATGTCCCCAATAAAGGCAGGGTGAGATCAGTGATTTAAGCAAATAAACACCCGGGCTATTATTAGAAGTTTTATGGTAGTTTATAAATGCGGCTGACACATTACATGTTCAGTTTATTTATTTCCTGCTTTAACATTTACAGTTCCCATTCAGGGATCTCTTTGATTAAAAGACATGTAAACAGTGTGTCACCTATCAATTAATTAAGAGTCCAACCCACAGATGCAGCTCTCAGATCTCTCATCTCAGTTAATGATTCTTGTGTTATTATTTTTTTCCCTTTAAGTTTTGCAAAGCATAATTTAAATGCTAATTTATTTCACCAAGTTATAATAGCTTTTGTAAAATGATCGAATTATTAATTAATTATCATTAAACATGCTTAAAGTCTAGTTATTCAAGTAGCACACTTCAGGCTCTGCAATTTTGTAGATAAAAAACGCTAATACTTGTAATTTCAGGTCAGAATTGGAAGCTTTAAAATACCATATTTACTCCAACACTGGTCTGATACTGACAACCTTCAGTTTTTATCCAAAAGGGGAGATTCCCGCACGTTTAGTTCCGTGTCCATTGACCGAAGAGGTTGTGTTTGACACCCCGGGGCACTTTGCATATGAGCGATGCAGTTGTCCTGCTCCTCTTGTCATGTTTTTCTGTATGAAAATTGGCATGGTGGCCCTCTCTCCTCTAATCACTGTCATCATGCACTAATGATGCCAGAGATGAGTTCAAAGCAGTCGCTGGGGGTCGTGCTGCTGCCCCCTCCCCGACTGTGACTCCCCCACAGACTGATATCAGCGCTGATCAAAGAGTCCATGAGATATTTTCTGTTAATGAAAATATACAAATTCCTCTCATCCCCTTTTAACTGGCCTTCTGATTGTATAATTACCACGATGGTCGATATAATAATTATAGATGATGGCAGGTCATTTATAGTGATTTTAGTTATTATAATTATGCTGAAAGTAGAGCTGTTAATTAGAGATAGTTAGCATGCATTCAGAGTTGCAGCAAGTGGCTTCCTTAATCATAGGGCTTATGATTACTCTTAGTATTAGAATGATAGACAGGATAAAAATAGGATACAATAAATTCTTATTCTTTGTCTTTTCTCTCTATATCTCACTTATGTGTTTGAAATGCAACTTTTTTCCTCTTGCTTTGTTTCCTGCTATATCACATATTTATAAAAATCTAACTTCTATTTTTTCAGCTTCAGAATCAAATTGTCTCTTTACACAGTGGTCAGGACAAATGGTGAGGCAGATTTCCGCACATTTCATATAAAACACACGGGTCTATCATGTAATTGCAAATCTCTTTAAGGGTGAATTTGAAGATATGAAAGATATGTAAAAAAGAAAAAAAGGCCTCTTGTATAAAATTGTCTGACTCTTAGCTTGTGGATTTTACTCACTAGCAGAGCAATACTGTAGTTAGAGGTGTTTTTAAAGAGTTTACATTATAATAATGTGGCTGAGGTCTAATTTATATATCTTCAGTCTCCTGACCTAGCAGCGTGGGTGCAGGTAAAAGTATTCTGCCGCATTGTATCAATAGGATTCATTTAAATTGTAATAACAGATTACAGAAGATATGAAGCTCTTATGTTCTGCTTCACTGTGAAAACACGGTTTTGGTTTTACCTTCAAATAAAGTGGTAGGTAATTTCCCCTAAACTGCTTGTTATATCCTTCCTGAGCGTCACATTTGATCTGTTTTTAGCAACGTTCTCACCAGTTCATCTACTTGGTGAGTACAATGTTATCATAACCAACAAAACGGATTACCCAAGCTGTGAAAAAATGAAATGAAAAAGTTGTTATTTACCGTAGTCTACCTTTAAAGAATTAGTTCAACATGTTGCACAGCCCTTTAACGACGTTACTGCTAGCCTGAAGATCCAATCACAGACTTCCTACTATAACATCACTCTGTTAGTTACAGAAGCTAACGGCCAAGTATGGTTTTATATGATGGGGTTAGCATAGTAAATCACATAAGGCTGGGTAAAGGTAAGTCATCAAAAATATTTAAAGGTTTTACAGGAAAAGAAGATAGAGACGTTGATATAAAAACAATGAAAATAGTTTTTGACATACATTTGGAATATGCCAAGAGATAACTGTACAATTAACACAGAGACGGATTAGAACTTGATAAATATATTTTTTATATTTCACTGTGTCTTCTGTGGCAAAAAGTGTTGTTTCCCAAAGTGTTGAACTATTCTTTTAAGTCCCTGCCACAGATTCTCTCGCTGTATTTTTATCTTGTCGTCAATCTCTTT